TCCCTACTCCCTTTAAGTTACTTGCGTCACGGATCTCTTCCCTTGATAGCCACTACTGGCTTGGGAACGGATATATATATCTGACTCTAACAACATCAGAGTAAGGACCCCGTTGCGTCCCGAGAGGGCCGTAACACAAACCCCCAAAATTCGGGCCCGAACTAACACAAAAGTCATCCGGTGTCCCCCGGCAGAGCAGAAGCCAGCCGCCCACCACGTCTGAGGGCACATCAGCAGCCCACCAACCCCCGGCAACTCTCGGCCAAGCCGGAGCCGGACACCGTCACCCCGCCGGGAGAACCAGCCGGCGGAACACGTCAAATAAATCTATCAACAATCCCGTGACCGCCCCCACGCACCCCCAAAGCGATATGTGCGCCAGGCGTCGTACAACCGGACCGTTGAATAAGGATGCCAAGCGGCAGTATCAAATCCAAATCGCAAAACAAAAAGTGAACCGGCAGCTCCTAGAAGTCCAGACGTCCGCTCGGCGTCAAGGTTGAACCAGGAGTCTCCTGTAACAAGTTGCCAGCTTCTTGTCCCCGTCGAGGCCCCTGGAGATGGTGGACCTCATGTAAATTCCCGTAAATATAATTTGTCTGGCACCGTAAACGAGGCAACAAACCCTGCGTTACTGCGCTCTATCTATTCAAGAACATCGAAATAAATTATTAAGCATATACGCTGAAAGTGGGACGCATCTCTCGCTGAATAAATCTCTGAGTAGGATGACGCACTGATATGTCGCTCTTTCGCGTGCATTAATAAGAGGAAACCTCATCATTCATTATGTACACAAGTTAATATAGAGAAATCTATCACCGAACAATTTCACTTCTGTTTCAAGTTTAAAAAAAAAAAAATAGGTTAAAATGAAATAGTACAAGGGGATTATTACTTAGGTTTGTTACCCATAAAATTAGTTCGTTTTCTTTGATTATTCTGTTTTTATATTTAAGGGCTGTATTAAGCAATTTCTATTTCGGATTTGTAACTTTTGTAATTTTGTAACTAGCTCATCAAGATTGTAACTTGTTTAGCTAAATGAATTGTGGGGTTCAGTCACCGAGCCCATTATGTGCCCCTGTAACCCTTCCCACTACTGCCCACACGATAGGTATGGGGTGCACAATCTTCAAAACATCAGATGTTCACTTGCGAGTTTACAAATAGACTATTACTGGAACTGTAAATGCAAATGAGCCAAATAAATTTAAGAAAATACTCGTACCCTGTGTAGTCAGCGAGTAGAATGCACTAGAATTAGAAGTTTTGGAAGCCATCTTCATCCATAATTTTAAGGCCAAATTCAACAAGGAATTTAAATGTCACAACAGTTAAAACGTAACGCAACAGGTACGACAAGGCTAGTAGGCAGGGCATAAAGAGCTAGACCTCACTCTCAAACACCGTTAGGTAAATACTGAGGTAAATACCCACACACACACACACACACACAGTATCCAGCTTAGTGTAGAGGGAAGCCCTGGTACTGAAAAGGGTCTCACTGGTGGAGGAAGAAGGGGGAGGGGGGAGTTGCAGATAGCGGTAGATGAATCATAATTCCTTCACACCACATCACTAAAGCCACAATTCTTTCACTCATCAGCAAAATCACAATACCCTCTCCTTCCTCTCTCTCTCTCTCTCTCTCTCTCTCTCTCTCTCTCTCTCTCTCTCTGTGAGTGGGTGGGGAGGGTATTAGTGGGTGGGATGATGGAGTAAAGGATGTCACAGATGGCAGCTAGAGGATGGGGTGGAAGATGTGAGTTAGTGAGGAGGATTTTAGTGGGTGGAGAGAAGGTGCAGAATGTTAGTGGGTGGGGAGAGGGTGGAGGATGGTAATGGGTGGGGAGAGGGTGGGGGGGGTGGGGGGGTGAAGAGCCAGGGGAAGGGGTGCTGGGGGAGTGCCACTAGCCACGGACGTTGAGGAAGACTGGCAGTGCCGTTCTCACAGCGGTCGCAGCCAGGGGCGGTCCTGGAGGTCCCGGAGCCAGCACAGTGCCACGGTGAGGGGAGGTGGGAAGAGTAAGCGGAGCGCGCTGGCTACGATGGCGGGAAAGATAATAGTAGATAGCAGCGTTAGAGGGAAAATAATGGTTGATAGCATCGGTTGAGGGACGATAATGATAAAATAATGGATTTAAGCTTACTGGTGTCAATGGGGGGTAGATGTAATGATAGAGGAGTGGGTTGGATAGACTCTTTGATGTGTACATGAAAGAGGAAACGAAAAAGTGAAAGATTTAAAAGAAGTGAAGTTTAATGTAGTAGATTTAGATGTAGTGTGACGAAGCCCAAAGAAAGTGAGAATGAAGAACAATCCTGAATATTATAAGAGCTTCAGAATATGAAATAATAAGTAATATTGAAAAATTTATAACTGGTTTTTTCAGTCTCGGTTTATGACATTCAAGTTTGAGTGGACAAAGGTGGCTGTTGTGGTTGCCATATGCTCCATGTGATGAAAGAAATGATACAGTAATTAAAAGGGATTTGTTTACAGTTACTTAAAAAAATATTTTATTAAATTAGCAAGAAAACACCTGTCAATGTGTTTTAAACATATAAATGACAAGATAGTGAATGTACGAATTATTATGGCAATAATCTACCAAGTGCAGTAGACGAAGTGTCTGGCAGGAAAGTCTCTAAAAAATTATAAGAAATACCAATGCAACGGCATATCAACCTTGCACGTTGCTTCAACGATGAAGCAACGTCAAGCTTGGATATTACGCCCACTGGAAGGTGGGTTCCGTGAAGGAAGAGGTTCTTTAGCCCAGATATTTCAACTGAGACAATTAATGACCAAAACTGTAAAGTGCTCAGCATATTACCTTTATTACTCAGCATATTATAATTGCTCATAGCGAAAGTAATTATTCAGACAAGTGTGTTTAGTGAATGACAACGTCGAATGAAACCTTAAAAGTCAATGATAGTTGGCAGCAGAAATACAAATATAAATTATTCTCATTATCTGCTGATGTAGACCTGACCAAATGTAAACTGTGTCAACAAAATTATTCGCACACCCTCCGTCACTATGTGATGGAGTGCGAAAAGATACGCGAATTTAGAGACAATTCTATAACCAATGTTCCAGCGATGTGTAAATATTTCATTCAAAATGATCTGCTACCAGAAATTTTAGCCAAATATCCCCAGTTTGCTAACTGTAGGTAGTAACTGAGTGATTGTAACCTATCCACCGCTGCCCACTGGATGGGGGGCGGTGTGCAGGACAAACATATTAATTGTGACAATAACTCTCCACATATGTCAGTTGCTTAATTTAGAACCTGTACTTGAGGTCGATCTCGAACCCATTGTTGACGTGACGACTTATATTGAATTTTGTAACTAGTTCATCAAGACTGTAACTTGCTTAGCTAAATGAATTGTGGGGTTCAGTCCCTGAGCCCATTATTTGCCTCTGTAACCCTTCCCACTACCGCCCACAAGATGGGTATGGGGTGCATAATAAATGAACTAAACTAACTAACTCTTGCGTGTGGCAAAGGTTATAAATAGTATAGTTTTCTCTTTTTCCATTTTGTTCATTTATTATAAAGAACATAAGAATGAAGGTAACTGCGGAGGACTCATACGAGGCAGCTCCTAATTTATATCCAGCCAATCTCCTTCATTTATGTCTAACCTACGCTTGAAACAATCAAGGGATCTTACTTCTATTATGTTAAACTAAATATTAGTATAAAGGCCATACTCATCCCCTGGGACCGCAGTAGGGAAGGTTACAGAGGCACATAATGGATTCTGAACCCCAATATTTGTTTAGCTAAGCTAGTTACACACTCATGAACATATTTACAGTCTAATAGTACAACTGCTTCAAGAACAAGGAGTTCACGTCTTCAGCTGATCATTAGATCTTTGTGAGAAGACAGGAGGATTCTGGCCTATTTTGATTATAATAAAACTCAGAAGAATTACGGGGCGTTTTCAAAAGATTAATTCCATTAATAGCAATCGCGCTCCTCACACAAACTTTATGAACTTACCTTTTATTCAACTCCCTCACCGGACTGGATATGTGCCAATTTCCTGCCCCCGTGGTGACCACTAAATAGATAGTATCCTTCAGGTAAACTCAGGTAATCCCATTCAAACAAGAAAAAATCAATAATCGGCGTTTTGGTTAATGTTCAAGATTGTTCAATAGGATCGAATCGAAGGGTTTAGGCTTGGGAACCGACTTGGCTGGGGGAACAGAGGGCCGGGAGGATATGGAGACTGAAGACTAAAACCTTCGGGAATGTAAAGAATGGGAGAGGAAGATAGGAAAACACATATGGGTGAATAAAGAGAGAAGGGAAACTGGGGAAATAAATGCAAGAGACCCCAAGTGTGGAACACGCTCAACAGATGGCGCTGACTGGCATATAAACGACGGCACTTCGATTGGTGTCCTGAAGTATTATAATTCATAATTCTATTTTTGTTTTCCTATTGAAGCTCAAAACGACCGAATAGATGTGAATTTCTGATATGAAGTTGACAATAATACAGTACAAGTGCGATACAATTAAGCATTAACGAATGTAAGAGAGAAAGTCAGACACGTATTTCCAGTGCCCTCACCTGGGGAAAGTGCCCACAAGTGTTGGAAGATTAACGTGGTGAGGGAGAGGAACAGTGAGGCAGGTTCACGTGGTGAGGGAGAGGAACAGTGAGGCAGGTTCACGTGGCGAGGGAGAGGAACAGTGAGGCAGGTTCACGTGGTGAGGGAGAGGAACAGTGAGGCAGGTTCACGTGGCGAGGGAGAGGAACAGTGAGGCAGGTTCACGTGGTGAGGGAGAGGAACAGTGAGGCAGGTTCACGTGGTGAGGGAGAGGAACAGTGAGGCAGGTTCACGTGGTGAGGGAGAGGAACAGTGAGGCAGGTTCACGTGGTGAGGGAGAGGAACAGTGAGGCAGGTTCACGTGGTGAGGGAGAGGAACAGTGAGGCAGGTTCACGTGGTGAGGGAGAGGAACAGTGAGGCAGGTTCACGTGGTGAGGGAGAGGAACAGTGAGGCAGGTTCACCTGGTGAGGGAGAGGAACAGTGAGGCAGGTTCACGTGGTGAGGGAGAGGAACAGTGAGGCAGGTTCACCTGGTGAGGGAGAGGAACAGTGTTGGCGGACGTCTGGTAGAAGCACCACAGATGCTGTTGGAGGTGTAAGAGAAGCACCGTGTAGGTGCTTGACTAGAATACAGCAGACATCAGGAAGAAGGCAACTCTACGTCAACATGGTGGAACAGCAACAACAGCCACGACAGCAGCAGCAACAGCCTCAACAGCAGCAGCAACAGCCACAACAGCAGCAACAACAGCCTCAACAGCAACAAAGCAGTTGGAATTTAAGCAGAATAGGTAAGACAGGAAACTCGTCAAACCTGTATTATTCAATTATATTTGTTTGTAAGCTCACTTTAATTATTATTATTACACACAAACACGAGGCTGCAAGTAGATGTTACGTCTGCCAACATCTTACTAGCGAGTAGCTTAGATCAGTCATCAACAGGAAGGTTAATAAAGCCACAGCAATAGTTTAAATGATCAATTAACTGGTAGCTACTGACATGTACTCATGTGGAAGAAGTGTTGACAACTTACATAGACGAAGCTTAAGCCAAATCATAACACGTAACATATAAAGTGAATATTTTTCTTGTGTCCTGTTATTGACTCGTAAATATTGCAAATGTTGGCGATTTTTTTGTATTTGTAGTACGTGCGTGAAGCATTTAAAGCGTTGTGATACGAACAACAAGTCGTCAGCGAAGCACTTGTTCTGGAAGTGTTCGGACATTATCAGTTGTGCAACCCGTCCTCGACTCAGCCCGTCCTCCAAACAAAGACCCGAAAGTGATTCCATGCACCCGCCAAACCCCCTGTTTATGAATGAAAAACGGTTTACACACGACTCACAACTGATTTCGTTCGAACCCTTCCGGAACAAGTGCTTCACTGACGAATTTTATTTGAAACGCAACGCAGTAAATGCTTCACCCACGTACAACAAATACAACAGCCCGTCCTCCAAACAAAGATCCAAAAGTGATTCCATGCACCCGCCAAACCCCCTGTTTATGAATGAAAAGCGGTTTACACACGACTCACAACTGCTGACGTTCGAACATATCCGGAACAAGTGCTTCACTGACGAATTTTGTTCGAACCACAACGCTGTAAATGCTTCACCCACGTACTACAAATACAAATAATCGCCAACAGAACCTAAACACCCATCCTAACCTATCCTATGCCTATTTATACACAATATGCTAATATATTATAATATTAATTTATACTTGAGAAAATTCCCGTTTTGAATGAACAGCATGTTAAAATATATGAATGCGTCTGTGGGGTTGACCGCTGAATGTAATGGACTTGAGTCGAGGATGGGTTGCAGCCAAATAATCGCCAACAGAACCTAAACACCTAACCTAACCTATGCCTATATATGCGCAATATGCTAATATATTATAATATTAATTTATATTTGAGAACATTCCCGTTTGGAATGAACAGCATGTTAAAATTTATGAATGCGTCTGTGGGGTCGACCGCTGGATGACATTGACTTGGTCTGAGGTCTGAGGATGTCGATCTCGAACCCATTGTTGATGTGACGACTTATACTGAATTTTGTAACTAGCTCATCAAGATTGTAACTTGCTTAGCTAAATGAATTGTGGGGTTCAGTCCCAGCACATAATGACTGTTCAGCCATTATGTGCCTCTGTAACCCTTTCCACTACCGCCCACAAGATGGGTATGGGGTGCATTATTAAATGAACTAAACTAAAGAAAACTCTGAGGATGGGATGTATGACGCCTGGAGGCTGGTGCTTCACGACGTCTCGTGAAGCCTGGGGGTGGATTTCCTCACCTTTTCCTCTCACTTTTCTCCTCCTCCTCCTCCTCTTGCTCCTCCTGCTCCTCTCACTCTTCTCCTCCTCCTTCTCCTCCTGCTGTCAGACATCCAAGGGTCTGAGCGTAATGAATGGATATCACCCTAATCAAATCTCCCGTTTTCCTGCAACTCAATATTCTCACTGAAGTTGTATCTGTAAGTGAATTTCTCCCTCAACTCGTAATGCCGGACGTGTGCAGGCAAGAGACGGAGAGAACCAGACACAGAGAGAGAAATAGAGAAATAAAGAAACAGAGAGATAAGATACAGAGAAAGAGGAGGGTTTAGAAGTGTCCAATAAAAAGAGAAGAGAAACAAGTAGAAGGATATTGACTTCATTGCCGAAGATTAAACAAAACAAAACAAAAAATAGATAAAAACTGGTGAAGATAGAAAAACCTTCCAGGAACGTTAATAAAGCACTCGGATCACTGTACATAACATACGTAAGACTAATCCTACAGTATGCAGCCAACACTTTATGACTAACGTGATTAACATGATTTTATTGGGATTAAAATCAAGTGATACAAAACTAGACCAGACGGACAGGATACAGTGATGGACCAGACGGACAGGATACAATGATACACTACACTGCCAGGATACAATGATACACCACACAGCCAGGATACAATGATACACCACACAGCCAGGATACAATGATACACCACACAGCCAGGATACAATGATACACCACACAGCCAGGATACAATGATACACCACACAGCCAGGATACAATGATACACCACACAGCCAGGATACAATGATACACCACACAGCCAGGATACAATGATACACCACACAGCCAAGATACAATGATACACCACACAGCCAAGATACAATGATACACCACACAGCCAAGATACAATGATACACCACACAGCCAGGATACAATGATGGCCCAGGAAGGTGCTCTGGTGTGACCTCATCAACCCTAACCAGCTTCCAGCCCTCGACAACAGGAAACCACACAAGTTATAGCCATCATACGCTCCTGTGAACCCCCACCCCCACCACCCTCCCCCAGCCAGCCCTCTCCAACAGTATTCATCGCATTTTGACGTATAAATCTTCCCCCCTCCCCCTTGAGGCCAACAACTGATGAATACAAATCATAGCGGCTCAAAAAATTTACTTGATGTCCCGTTTTCTATTCGCGAGGTGCTCGGTTTGGTTAGGTTCGGGCAATTTTAGTACATCAGTTTAGTGATGTTGCTGACCGCTTGAGAGGACGGGCTGCACCTCCTCCACCGTGTCATACATCACCACCATAACAGCATCGCCATACACTCAGGAAATTCAATGATTTAACAAAACAGGAAATATTGACATAGGTGAAGTGCCATTGTTTACAGACTTTTAATTAATATACCAATTTCCTGCATGTTATTGGAAGGCTGGGGCCAGATTCACGAAGCAGTTACGCAAGCACTTAAGAACCTGTCCATCTTTTAGCAATCTTTGGCGGCTTTGTTTACAAATATTAAACAGTTAATGAGCTCCGAAGCACCAGGAGGCTGTTTATAACAATAACAACAGTTGATTGGGAAGTTTTCGTGCTTGTAAACTGTTTAATAAATGTAACCAAAGCCGTCGAAAATTGAGGAAAGATGTACACGTTCATAAGCGCTTGCATAACTGCTTCGTGAATCTGCCCCCCTGATCAATTATTGTATTGAACTACATTCAAACTTTCCTGAATTTGAATAACTACAAAAATCAGTGACTTTATTACCTGCGGCCGCAGGTATACTGGCCGGGGTGATAGGCGTGGCGGCGTGGGCATGGCAGGCGTGGTTCGGCGTGTCTGAGGGCGTGGTGCACAAAGCTGACCCCGTGTACGACTTCATCGTGGTGGGCGGCGGGACCGCGGGGTGCGTACTGGCGGCGAGGCTCAGCGAGGAGGAGAACTTCAAGGTTCTCCTGGTGGAGGCTGGCGGGGAGGAACCATGGATCTCCAACATTCCTCTGGCTGCCCCGCTCCTTCAGCAGTCTCGCTTCGACTGGCAGTACCTGACGGAGCCGCAGGAGGAGTCCTCGTTCGGTCTCTTTAACCAGGTAGGTGAAGAAAGAAAAGTTAGCTTGGAGAAACATTAGTATAAACAAAACTAATTTCACTTTTTTAATAGATGAGGATGTGAAAAATCAATCGATAAAAATAATTTTAATATACAGACGAAGAGTCACAATAACGTGGCTGAAAAATGCTAACCAAACCACACACTAGAAATTGAAGAGACGACGACATTTCGGTCCGTCCTGGACCGAATATAAAAGGGACTGGACTGAATATAAAAGGGAATGTTGAATCCAAAGAGGGAATAAGTGTGTAAGTTTTTGTATAAGGTGAAGGAGATGTGGCACTGTGAGAGTGCCTGTGCAATGTCTGTTTTGATCACTACAATACACTCGTCACTTTCCTAGCAATCAGCATGGCCCCGCGGTCGTGGGTTGGGAGGCACCGCGACCCTCAACTTCAACATTCACATGTTCGGGTCTCCCCAGGACTTCCAGAAGTGGGAGGAGTATGGGGCCACGGGCTGGGGCTTCCAGGAGATGAAGAAGTACGCCAACAAGGCCGAGTGTCGCAGACTCAGGCCTAAGATTTTCAAGGTCTGTGGAATCATTTATTTTGAATTAAAGAATTTTAGGTCCAAGTCTGTGTAACAAAATTTTGCAGTATTCTGACCACAAGTCACAGTAACATGGATGAAAATTAGACACCCAAGTCACAAATCTGAAAATAAAAGAGTTAACAGCGTTTTGGTTAAATCAAGGATTGTTCATATAACTTGAATATTTAAATATATAATTTTTTATTTAATGGGCATCCTAATTTACACATAAAATTGCAGCAGAAACAATGCAGCAACGAGCATGTAGAGAAGGCAGATAAAGGGTGTAACAGCAGCGAGGGGGAGAAGACAGGCCACCTCAGGCACCAGCAAGATGCTGTCCAGTGTTACCACCCACCCCTCCGCGTCCACACCGCTGCCTCCACTCTCACACACACCTTCCTCGCAGCAGGGAAGGAACTAGGTGAGTCTAATACATGTTGCTTACCTAGGAAAAGTATTTATTTACATGTTTTGCTTGCCTGGCAATGCCCGTTCTCGCGAGTGTTCCTAACATCAAGACACTATAGTTTTAAAGTGCCTTATTCTAACCTACCAGAGGACCCACGAACAGAAAACAGGACATTATGTCAATTTCGCGAGCCGTTACTATTTTCTACTACAATAGTTTTTTGGCCTTAGGTAATAAAATATAAGTCAAAATGCGACGTTCTATTAGGAGGATGGGTTGTTCGAAAAGTCTAGAGGGGGCTAGATTCACGAAGAAGTTACGCAAACACTTACGAATTTGTACATCTTTTCTCAATCTTTGGCGGCTTTATTTATAATTATTAAACGGTTAATGAGCTCCGAAGCACCAGGAGGCTGTTTATAGCAATAACAACAGTTGATTGGCAAGTTTTCACGCTTGTAAACTGTTTAATAAATGTAACCAAAACCATCAAAGGTTGAGGAAAGATATACACGTTTGTAAGTACTTGCGTAACTGCTTCGTGAATCTGGCCCCAGGAGCTCTCACCATGGAGGACAGAAGCAAATGTATATATGCTGGTTAGCATTGTAAATGTGTGGCCACGTTTGTGGTAGAAAATAATGAAAATAATAATAAAAATACTATGCCAGCGGTGAGAAGTATGACTATATAACATGGTACTCCTTCACTGCAGGCCTGCCGGTGGGGAGCCTCAACGACGATATCGACTACGGGCTGATGGCAGGAGAGACATTGGTATTCAAGGGACGACGCTGGAGCAACGTCAAGGGCTATCTGAGACCCGCCCTTGGCCGCCCCAACCTGCATGTCCTCATCCACAGCCACGTCACTAAGGTACTCACACTCCTCCACGTCTTTCACTGATGGCCGGGTTTACTGTTTTCCCACTCTTCGTCGTGTTAATTCACTTCTCTTTACCTCTGTCCTTCATTATTCCCAATTATATTCCCGCCAAACACACACCGAAACTACTACGTTGGTACAACGTTCGAACAAGTTTTAACCCCTCCTAACCAGTTATAACAACCAATATAGCAAGTTGTAACAACGTTCTAATACGACATAAACACGTTAAGCCAACATGTAACAACTTTATTACCAATTGTAACAAGTAGGAAATAGGGATAGTTTCGGTTTGTGTTTCTAGGGTTCTGCCCTTTCATTATTCCAATTTATATTCTGCCCTTTTATTATTCCCAATTATATGCTGCCCTTTCATTATTATCATTTAATGATATTCCTGGCAAATGTTTGACAGTTCCATTCGTATATTACCCTTCACCTGTCCACTCTTATTGCTCCTCCACTTTCTGTTGGCTATATCTTTCATTTCATCTCCTCCTTCCACTTTAGACTTTAATCTCTCCTTATGTATCTTTCTTTTTCCCTCTGTAAGGTATTTCACCCTCTGTTAACATTGTTCTATCCAGTATTCAGCTGTTTTCTTATCTTTTCAATATTAATTAATGTTTTCACAATAATATATATTGTCTGAAGTTCGAGAGTCTTATAGTCCAGGTGAATGAAATGTTATTTTCCTCTATATAGTGGTTAACAATATATATACTTACCAAGGTCTGCAAGATCTCCTCTAGCTGAATGTTTTATTCTCTTTTCCGAGGCTAAGGGTCCCTACAATTACACAAGAGGTGGTATATCCCTATATAACTCTTTTAGTGTGTTTGTTTATGTCATATAAACTTCCGACTGCTAAATCTGTCATTAAATTAACCCTCCTACTTTGATGCCTCATTTTTTTGTTAGTTTAGTTTTTATGATCTTGATTCGGTAGATCTTGTGGGAGGGCGAGCGGGCCGTGGGGGTGGAGGTGGTGCAGTGGGGCAGCCCTCGCCTCAAGAGGACCGTCTATGCCCGTGGGGAGGTGATCCTGGCCGCCGGGGCCATCAACTCTCCCAGTCTGCTCATGCTCTCTGGTGTCGGACCCAAAACTGTCCTGGAAGAGTTTAACGTAAGTTAAACTTTCCTCTATGGAAGTCTTTGTTATATGTTAAAATTGTTTTGGGAAGGTTAGATGTCAGTGCTACTGGTCAAGAGGTTATGTTTCAGCCAAGTCATCGCCACCTTGTTCGTGTTATGCTAAACTATTATTGAAAACTAATATGGAGAAAAATTGTGTTTCAGAGAATTTATATATAGTATTAGTCTCTTATTGCTAATACTGTATTTATCTATTGTATCAGCTTAACATTCTCTTTTTCTTGCCACTTGCATTCATAAGTCATATCACAATGTATAATTTTCAAGCACAGTATACCCAGCTGTAACGAACTAGTGTCCTAGTAGTGATAACTATCTTCTACGGACCCCAGATACTAAATTCAGTCTATTACTAAATGAATAGTATTTTACTGCAAGTCGTCTGGTGTTGATTGAATAAGGTAGACAAAATACTACTAGTAACAATTACTACGGTTCATTAACAATAGTCTAAGTGTAAAAATGAATACAATAGGTGACGGCACATCAATTAACAAAGTCTAAATGAATAGTTGGAATTATATATAAAGTCCTCATAAATATTAATTTTTTTTAATATAATCTCTTTTTGTTGTTTGGCATCTAATTATTTATTTCCAAAAATCTGCTGTAGATTCCAGCGGTCTCCATACTTGAAGGTGTTGGTGAAAACCTCCAGGACCACCTCAACACTCCCTTGTACGTCTCCCTGGAGAAGGATGTCTCCCTCAACCTTGCTAAGCTGCGCACCTTAAGTAATATTTGGGACTACTTCGTCAATGGAGGCAAAGGTAACTCCAGAGTTAACACATAATCTTAGTTATTTTTGGTTTAATTAGGTTAGGGAACTTTTCTTAGGTAGTTTTCCCGTAGTTTACCTCAACCATATGCAGACGAGGAGTCACAATAACGTGGCTGAAATATGTTGACCAGACCACACACTAGAAAGTGAAGGGACGACGACGTTCCGGTCCGTCCTGGACCTCCAGTCGATTGAGAATGGTCCAGGACGGACCGAAACGTCGTCGTCCCTTCACTTTCTAGTGTGTGGTCTGGTCAACATACATCAACCATGTTTATGGAACATGAACGTCATCATTGCCTTTTAAATCTTGTTATAAATTGTCAATTAGGATGTATTAAACTTCCGTGTTCAGTGAATTCTTGAAGGGTTCAATTAACCTCTCGTATTTCATTTAAGTGTCTCTCTATCAGAGTAATATAAATGTCGTTATTGTTTTCTTTTAATTGTGCATTTATTTAACGTCAATAAAAATGTCATCTCGATCTGCCCTTGACTAATATCACCCATGTACCAGCTGGACGAAGACTCCATGCAAATATGAAGGAACAAGTGCTACACTTAGTACTGTGGATAAATGTGCAGTTGTGTTATACAGCTCCCACTTCTAAACTACTCGTAAACATAAATTATACTAAGTATAATTAAACGTATGTCAGTTTGAAACGTAGTATTCTCATCACCAAAGTTTCACGTAGAGATGAGTTGCTCACGTGATAACCTAAGTTTGATGTTTGGTTTTAAAGTAAATGATGAACCACATACCTACAGTAAGTTTGAGCCTGTGGAATTATTCAGTTGTCGAGATGTTGCCCTTGTGTTGCAGGCGACCTCGGGCGGGCAGCTGTTGAGGGCGTGGGGATAATGAGGCTAGCGAGGCAACAACCAGAACTCGGTGTCATCCTCTTCAATATGGGCGCTCTCGATAAGCATCTCTACTCTGCTATCACCAATATGAAACTCAATGTGAGTTCCTTTATGAGTGTATTGTGAGGGTTTAAACTCGATGTGAGTGTCATTTGAGTGTATTGTGAGGATTTCAACTCGACACTAATGCTTTATGAGTGTATTGTGAGGGGTTTAAATGCGATGTTGGTGCTTTATGAATGTATTACAAGGAATTAAGATTTTGTAATGTTGGAGGTGAGACACTTTGAGGCCTCATTTGAGGCCTTTGGGACGCCTCGTTAAACTTTTCAGGGTGACTTGTGAGTAAGGAGGATTGGTCTCCATTGCAGTCTTAATGAAATCGGCAGAAATGAAATACTCGGCGCAGAGTCCATAGAGTTAAAAAAATAATAATAATTCAGAATTTTCATTGTTAAGCAAAACACATGTTCTGATGGCAGATTTGTATTCTGTGGGCTTCCAACGCTTTAATGGCACAGTTGGTACCCAGTACCAACTGGTACTTAATTGGTACCCGGGTCGACCTCCGAGTACCTCTAGGTACCCACATCCGGCAAACTAGCAAACATCAATCTCTACTTTCTCCGTTTTAAAGCCAGGTGTCTCCCCAACCCAAGAAAGAAGAAAACAGGGTCAGAATGATTATGACTTATAATTATAATGTTATTATTATAATTTTTATAATTATAATAAATTATAATATTATTATTATATTATTATAATTTATTCTAATATTATATTATTATAATTTTATTATTATTATATTATTATATTTTAAATATTATTATTTTTTATTATTACTGATTATTATAATTTAAATAAATTCATATTAATTCCTTATTCTTATGGACAATATATATCCCTGTCAATAATGTAATTAGTAAATTCCAATTTACTAAATACAGAACATGCAAAATAATATTATAATTTTTCCCAGTATTTTGAGACAGCTTTCCCGAAGATGGACAATCACAGTGCCTCGGGGTTCCTCTTCTTATCGACATGTTTACACCCAAAAAGCCGGGGTCAAGTTCGCATTGTCTCGAGAGACCCCCTCCACCCTCCCTCCATCCAGCCCAACTACCTCCACCATCCTTACGACATCACCTGCATGAGAGATGGTTAGTTACACTGTCCAGTGACCTCGTGAAAGTACAGTGTACTAGTATTTAGAAAATAGAATTTGATTACATATTCTTATTTTGAACACGTGTAAGAAGTCATTATATATTATAATAATTCCTTATGTTGGGGACAGGCAGCCAGTGTATAATATATATATGTTCGGCCGACCGGACAGCACGCTGGACTTGTGATCCTGTGGTCCCGGGTTCGATCCCGGGCGCCGGCGAGAAACAATGGGCAGAGTTTCTTTCACCCTATGCCCCTGTTACCTAGCAGTAAAATAGGTACCTGGGTGTTAGTCAGCTGTCATGGGCTGCTTCCTGGGGGTGGAGGCCTGGTTGAGGACCGGGCTGCGGGGACACTAAAGCCCCGAAATCATCTCAAGATAATAGATTTTATCACTTTAATTTACTGAAATAGAGATATCTTGAGTATAAATATCATTGCAGGTCCTAGTATAGCATAATGACATTGTGTAGCTTTTGGCAGTGTTTATTGAAACGTATCCTAAAATTGTTTCTAAATACTTACAGCATTCAAGTTTACAGTACGGCTGGTACGAACTAAAGCGTTCCAGAATCTGGGAGCATCTGTGGCCTTACCTCGCTACCAGGAGTGCCTTGGTTCAGAAGGTCCGGAACCCTTGGTTCGGAAACGCTCTGGTCCGGAAGGTTCAGGGCGCGAAGAGTACACCCGGACTCTTTACCAGGAATTCGTCTCTTGCATCATTCGTGTGGGTGCCATTTCTGGTTATCACGCATTGGGCACTGCTCGTATTGGCCAGCCAGGTGACCCTATGGCTGTGGTCGATCCGGAGCTCAGGTAGATGTAACACTTGCTAAATTGTAAACTATTGCAAGTATATATTGTCCATGGAAAACAAGTATGCTATAAACTGCTAAGCATATTAATTAAGCACATTTACAGAATTATATTTATATCAGGGTTTTTAATTATAGAGCCTACTTCAAAGCTTGGGTATTACATCCATGAAAAGAACTTGGATTGTCTAATTATATTTTTAAATAAAATTTATACCTGAATATTTGCCAGCTTACAGCTTATGACCCTACTTAGTTCTTTTAACTGCATTAATGAAGTTCTCTATCAAAATTATATTTGTCTAACATATATACATGAGTTATGACAATCCAAGTACCAAGTTCTGCACACACGACTAGATTATGGTCCAGGACGAACTGAAACGTTGTCATTTCTCCATCTTCTGATGTGTGGTTTGGACGTCAATCCAAATACTGTAAAAAACAAAAGAATTTTACCTGAATTTACATGAAGGCTACTATCTCTAGTGGCTTTGTCGGGAATCGAGGAAGGAAGCCAGCGGCTTGTCAAACGTCCTCCCCCTCCCCCCATTCCCACATTGTTGCTGAGGATTTTTTCCTGTCTGTATTTTGAACTGTAGTGCTATAATGTTTGGTATTTATGGCTTCAGTGCGTAGGTAGTTCCATGGGTCTGTGGGTTAAAAAGCTTCTCATGTTTTCTGTCCTAAGTTGTGGCTTGTTGAACTCCCACCTGTGCAATTTTCAATGAATGGTGGATCAAAATTCCCAGGTCCTTGTCTTCATCCACCTGCTGTATAGTAATGTTGCCCTACATGCAAGGTCTTGCAATTGTCAATATTAAAAAGCATTTGTCATGCAACTGACTACTTGCAAAGTTCATGTAGATCTCTTTGTATGGCCTCAATATAGTTTTTGCTTCCCACTTTATCATAGTTCTTAGTGTCTTCTACAAATTTTATGACATGGTTAATAAAATTCTTGTCTATATCATTAATGTACAGTATATGACACAAATGGTTGGCCCCAAAATGGAATACAGTGATAATGTGAACACACACTAAGATGACGATATACATTATTTAAAAGAGAACGTTTCACCTCTTATGGGGTTCATCAAAAACAATGCCTTAACTTTGACATACTAAGATAATTACATTCTTAATTGTTTTAACTCTTCTCTCATCAGAGTGATTGGGACAGAGCATCTGAGGGTAGTGGATGCTTCAGTGATGCCTACACAGATTTCTGGGGCTCCCAACTCTGCCATCACTGTCATTGCAGAGAAGGCATCCGATCTCATTAAGGCAAGTTGTTCTTGTATAATTGTCTTGCTTCCTATAGAGCTTGTGCGGCAGGAAAGTTGCTCGTATGCTGACTTAGCTATGTTCTCAACTCACAGTGTAGACCCCGAGTTCAATTCCTGAGCAGGACAGAAACGTTTGGGCACATTTCCTTTCACCTGCTGCCTCTGTTCATAAAGCTGTTAATAAGTACAGTACCTGAGTTACGCAACTGTTGTAGGTTGCTTCTTGGAGGCAGTAGTTGGCCTAGGGAAGGGAGGGGTGGGGGGGGGGCATCTCAATAACCCTAAGTACAGGCTTCCTGTCCCTGACAACAGCAATTATTATTATTATAACAGTCCAGTGTTCATAGGACCTGCATACAGTTGTATTTGGTGTCCATTTTTGCTTCCTACTACATATTTACGAAATTTTTTGGGTTTAAAAATTATAATCATTTTATCTCAATTGACCGATTTTTACCTGCTTTCTGGTGTGCTTCACCTGCCTGCCAGCCTGCTTTCTGGTGTGCTTCACCTGCCTGCTAGCCTGCTTACTGGTGTGCTTCACCTGCCTGCTAGCCTGCTTACTGGTGTGCTTCACCTGCCTGCTAGCCTGCTTTCTGGTGTGCTTCACCTGCCTGCTAGCCTGCTTTCTGGTGTGCTTCACCTGCCTGCCAGCCTGCTTACTGGTGTGCTTCACCTGCCTGCCAGCCTGCTTACTGGTGTGCTTCACCTGCCTGCTAGCCTGCTTACTGGTGTGCTTCACCTGCCTGCCAGCCTGCTTACTGGTGTGCTTCACCTGCCTGCTAGCCTGCTTACTGGTGTGCTTCACCTGCCTGCCAGCCTGCTTACTGGTGGGCTTCACCTGCCTGCCTCCATATAGAAGTTCGTCACTTTTATAATAACCGTCTTGTTTCAGAGAGTAATGCTTGTAAAGATGTTTAATTTCTAAATAATGTAATTTCTACTGTTTAATATAGTATACAGTTTTTAATATAGTATACATCAGTAACTTTTATTTTTATAATCTTTTATTACAGGCAACTTGGAGTAACAAATCTAAATTAGCCAGTCAGAAAATTTGCTCCAGTGCACCAGACTGTGAAGAAAAGCTTCTGTCCAACATTTCCAACTTAGCAGAGCCCGTTGGTGGCCTCATTTCAACTGTTATTGTTTACATACTCTGGGGTGTGTTATTATATGCTAACACTGGCATATGATAACACACCTCTGGTCTTCATCATGCTGGTAGCCTATGTGTAAGAAGGGTTGACAATGTGCAATACATAATTCAAAATTTTGCTTACACTGTACTTCAGTATGTATAAATTAAAATTTTGCTGGTTATTGTTAATTATGGTACAGTACAGCATAGACCTTCAATTTATATGGAAGCTTAACAAGAGTCATCATACCTAAAAAGTATTTTTTTCGTGTACAGTACTAGTACATATACTGTACACACGTAAAATAAATGCCATACAGTAGTTACCTCTGGAATAATAACCACAGCTTTGATTGCTATCTGCTGGACTATTGGTATGTTACCACTTCTGGGTGACCGCACCAGTACCTTCTTGGATGCACTTGAGGACACGTGTCTGGCTCACCGAAACATTCATACCTATATTACACATTAAATATAATGAACTTTTTTTCATATGACTAATAGTTACTAAAACTTAACATTTAATAAAGTGCATTGCTATGAATGTAATGCAATATATTCACATATTTCTGGTGGTCAAAATAGGAATTACCCAGCAGGTACAAGGTAGTAACTGAAGCTGACATTCCACATTTTGCAGATTTATGAAATTATTTGCCCAAATTACTTTTAAATTTTTGAAAATAAAAAAGCACAAGCTGGGCAAAGATATATTTATTGTTTACACACACAGTTAACACATTGAATTTTCAATGAATAGTTTTGAGCACCATGAATGTTGAAATGGGAGAAGGGAAGGGAAGGGAAGGAACAAGGGTATTCACATAACCATACTGTCTTAAGATAAAACCAAAGTCATATTGATGTGTCTCAATGTGCGTACTGTATTTAAACTGATAGGTGAAAGTATTGTTAAAGATTACTGTATAGTATTACCTGAGCTCAAGTGACGTTCTTCTATGATATATACTTAATTCTATTTTGGGTAGTTTGCTGTAGGTAGTCCTTATACTTAATAATATTTACTCCAGTGTTGTAGGTTCTGTATTATGCTATAGCTGTACCAAAAACAGGAGCTGCAAACTGAAAGATACAGGCGCTTACATTCATTATATTATTACAAAATACCACAAAATTTACAATCATTATAATATTAAGATTAAAACATTATGTAATACACATACAATTATATGATGGTGCCACACAATATATCAGGCCAAATTTTAAATATACACTACCCATTATCAGATTCTGTTTTCAAAAAATAATGAATGCTAGAATAATGGTAAATGAACCACAGGAAGCTTCTCACGTTGAAATGCGAGACAATAGACAAGTGTAAATATAGACATAAATTTGGTTAAACTTTAATGAGTCATTAAATTACTAATACACATTCCAGTATTTTTATTAAAAACAATTTTAAATATTTTCCCACAAGTGGACCGAGATAAATGGCTTCAAATGTATTGAATATCAAATTTAAGAATAAAAATATTGATTGTATGAGATATATTAGGCATAAAATAATGCCCAGAAAGTATTGCCTACATGATGCAATAACTAACAATATGTAACAAATAGAAACATACTAACTAGGCATCCTTTAAGGCATATTTCATATTGTCCTAACGGAGACAGGAAACAATAAAAGTCCATCAACCCCAAGGACTTATTACCATTGCTATGTTACGAAACTAACAACATAACGACAGATGATGTTCAAGAAACTCACTGATAAATAATTGGTAATGTTACTGAAACAGACAACCTGAATTTATAATCATCTTCTATGAAATAACATGTAAATTCACTATCTCCTCTCCACTTACTGATTAAATGTCTTGACTGTAATGAATAATGAGAGCTATTTGCAGGAAATATAATGTATAATACAGTACATTAATATATGATATTAACCAATTATTATATATACTGTAAATATATATGATATTCACTGATTATTATAGATATTCATATATTATCCTCTTTGGAAATTGGCTTCCCAAAGGGGAATTCACTTGGTTCATTAAAACGATTCCTCATCAGTATGTACATTAAACTAGTAGTAACAACAGCCTGACTGATCAGGCTCTCGACCAGGAGACTAGATCAGAGACTGGACCCCAAGGGCACTCATCCCTAATATCCTCACTAGGAAGACACTATATAAAGGCTATACAAGTAATGAATTGGTAGCTGCGTTTTTCGTCTCAAAATATAGTATTACTCAAATATAACATACTGTACATGTAAATATTCATACTGTACTGTAATTTTGGAAGACAAACCCCAAATACTGTACTGTATATATCTCATCATCTATATTCCAAGAATTTCATAGGTTCTCCATTCATGAACGAGCAATGGCTTTTCGTCAACAATACTGTGCAGTAAATGATTTTTACCATAATAGTTGCCAAAATATTAATTGTAGATTTTATTTATTATTTTTCTCCAACAGTTTCTCAACAAATCCCTTAACCTCCTTATGAGAAACCAAGCCAACAAATTTTTCTATCACCATCCCTCGGTAGATTCCCAACACAGCCGGTACTGCTGTGACTTCGAAGGCATGCAGGAGCTCCACGTGTTGATCTACCATTACCTATAAAAAAATAATCACGAGAATTAATATTCCAAGAACAAATTTTAATATTATATAATATCCAAATACGGTATTTTACAGAGCAATATATACACTTTTAACAGCCATACAAAGACTGTTACCACAGGTATGCTGAAAATGTATTTCCACAATTTACTTTAAACAGAACCTTTAGAATCCACCAGAAAACAATGATTCTAAATCAGTTCCTATTATTAGGACTTTCCTTAGTTCCTGGACTGTACTGTAACTAGGCAAGTGAGCGAGAGGAGAGGCTGGCAAGTACACCGAGTTACTTGGGCTGCCACCAGATGGTGTTCAGGTGTATCACAAAGAGGGTGTTTACACAGCTGCAATGTTTTATTGCATTACCTTACCTTTGGGCACCTAATTTTCTTTAAGCAATTGCTTGTTTTGTTGCAATTCTCAGCTTTGTTTTGATATTTGATTCCCAAGTTCCCCTCGCCTCATAGAGGGAAACTCCCTCTCCCTTCATCACAGTTCCTACTGATTTTCTCACTGATACATTACATTAATGTGATTTCTCTGTGCATTGAAAAAGGAAGCATTAGAGGTAGAATTCCTGGACAACAGAGCCAGAGTGCATAGGGGGATTGTGTGAAACCCTGGTTCGGCTTCAGTGGAAGGCTCAGGAACTCTCGTGGATTCAGTTCAATCCCAGGTTGTGATCCTTATGATCATGTCATGGCATAGTTGTCTAAGGCATATACTTGAGAGTACCCAGAGCAATAGGTTCGAATCCTATTCACAGCTCCTAGTGATTTTGTCATTGATACATCACGTTAATGCAATTTCTCTGTACACACAGAAGGGCAGCTTGCTTGTGCATCATCAGTCTGGAGAGAGGAAGCAGGAGCCTTCTCCACCCATTCACTGTCAGTGCACAATAGCCCCACCTCACTTTGTCAAGGAACCACTCACTGAGTGGGTAATACATATATAAAAAGTATTTTACCCACACTTATCATATATATTTACATTCTTGTACAGCCACTAGTACGCGTAGCGTTTCGGGCAGGTCCCTGGAATACGATCCCCTGCCGCGAAGAATCGTTTTTTCATCCAAGTACACATTTTACTGTTGCGTTAAACAGAGGCTACAGTTAAGGATTTGCGCCCAGTAAATCCTCCCCGGCAAGGATACGAACCCATGACATAGCGCTCGCGGAACGCCAGGCGAGTGTCTTACCACTACACCACGGAGACTATTAAGACTATTAAACTATTAAGACTATTAAAACGGAGACTATATTATTATTATTATTATACAGCACTTTAAGAATACTACCTACTAGTATATTAATTTGAGTTCATGTGAATGAACTCATCTAAGAGTACTATATCAAGCTAAATATTCTCACCTCTGCTAGATGTAGTTGGCCAAGATTTTCCTTAGCAATTTTTTCCAGTAGAGGCTTGAGGGAATGACATGGTTCACACCACTCTGCATGAAAGTTAACAATTACTGGAAGCGAGTTTCTCATGACTTTGTTCTTGAACTCTTCTTCATTTTGTATTTCAAACACATCCATTAGGCTTTCACTCTGACGAAGGCCCCTGGTTCTAGAGGAAGCTGTTAAAAGTTGACCTTTAGAAGAATTGTTGAAGAGAATTCTAACCGGGACCCTCTGAAGAAAGGTGCGCATGGCTGGATTGTGTGTCATAATTCTATAGGGAAAACCCTTATGCAGATTAGTACAGGTTTAAGTATAAATACAACTTTAGCTGCCTTTATGTCGTCAGTCACCAATATCGTTTTGTGGTAATCAAATATTAAAGCTGCACCAAAGTCTCTGAGTTTCTTAAAGCTTAACTTTCTTGAGTGGCCCTGCTAGTATGGGTTCAGTCCAGTGACCAATGATGGCTCCGAGTGCTGCAAGTGCCGATAAGCTCAAGACCAGTACTATAACCACCCGAGGTATGAAGAGTTGATCAATCACCTGAAAATAATCAGCATATGAATCTTGAAATAAATATACTGTACTTGTAATACAAAATGCAATATTTAATGTACAGATGAAAAAGTACTTGCTTTAAATAATATTCACATAACAAGTTTGCTTTCTTCAAGTATAGAATAATAATAATAATAAGACAATTAGCATCACATCATATGCTTTTGTGTTTATCATTACATTACATGTATTTAAAAATGGCTGCCTATAGTGTCTAATTACAAAAACTGTTTTGGGAAATGTTTCAGCCAGTGTACTATATCAATGCCAATTTTGAAAGTATATAAATTGACTTTAAATTTACCTCTACAGTATTTTGTTCATTTATTACATATTTTTGGATCCTGTTATGGTTTCATGTCTCTTATTCAAAATATCATCAGATAAACAGCAAATAGAGCAAGTGTTTTCTTGCATGACTGAGTGTTGTTGATGAGTGTTGTTTTGAGGGCGCCTGACAGAGCAGTGGAGAGCGCTTCGGATTCGTAGTCCTGAGGTTTCGGGTTCGATCCCCGGTGAAGGAGGAGACAAATGCGCAAAAAGTTTCTTTCACCCTGATGCCCCTGTTATCTAGCAGTAAATAGGTACCTGGGAGTTAAACAGCAGCTATGGGCTGCTTCCTGGGGGTGTGTAATAAAAAGGAGGCCTGGTCATGAACCGGGCCACGGGGACGCTAAGCCCCGAAATCATCTCAAGATGACCTCAAGATAAGATGCATCAACACATATTCTTATGAAAAATAGCAAGAACAGGTGATTTTCAGGTGATAAGAAAATATTGTGATTTTGATAGCTGTTATTTACATGAAAAAGATTAAAGAAAAACATTTCAAGAAGAATAACTTGGAATACTGTAATATGAAACACAAAATGAATGTATTAATGCACTTGCTTAAAGAATCATTATTATTTCATATGAATATACATTACTAAATTTTAGTAAAAAATTAAAAGAACTAGAGTAATTTACAAAAATATTAATACAATACAGGACAATGTACAGTATTCTACTGTATTTCCGCACAGTGTCAGTTTTGTTTGTGTACGGTAGGAGAAAATGCGAATTATCAAACTGGTTCAGTGTGGCTACTGGCACTGGAATTGTAAACAAATAATTTATAATTAGTGTAGTTATCTGAGCTGAAATGAATTGATTTACATTGGAAAATTCCACCATTTAAAGGGTTAACAGTGAAATGCAATGAAAGAAAGGCAAATGTGCATAAAATGGGTCAAGAAATCAAATCATTTTGTCACATTAATTTCTTTCATACTGTACTATAGTAATTGTTCATTTCATACTCATTATTTCTTACCTATTTACTCTGAGAAGACCTGCTAATATTCCCTTCTTCCCTAATTCTAAATTTGGACACGTTATCTATATGCCTTGAAAACAATCTTTAATCCTTGATTGTTATTGCAAAGAGAGCCAGAGTAGTGCTGTCCCCCAAGCTTTAATAGCAAATTATATGAATTACATTCTTCATATTTAGGTGTTATTAACAAATGCCTCATACATGCAACTCAACATAGGCCAAATCAAGTAGTGCCAAACATTTATCAAAATATGAAGAGTAAAGTTGAAGTGCAAGCAAAAACCATACCACTTCTTCTACGGTGGGTTGGTGAGGCAGTGAGTGTTGGGGAAGCAGCAGCAGCAGGAGAGAGAGCACCGCTGCAATCCCAGTAACCCCCACTGCTGCTACTGTACGACTCCGCCCACAAGCAATCACGGCCACTGCAGCTGCCGCCCACACCACCACCAGCACCACAACACCCACCCCTACGCCAAGCACCCGCATGTTACTCCCGGAGGCACAACATGCATGCTAGCGAGCTGCACAGGACACAACATTTGTTAATGTACTACACTACAAGTATAAACTGTCATAAACCAAAACATATTTATCTGGAATAGATAACAACTCATACAAAACACTTCTAAGTACTGTACAGTACTACTATACCACTTTTACATCCAAATTCCTTAAGATACACTACAGTATACTGTACTACATGCAATAAAAAATTAATACAATTTCCAATACTATTAAAATTTAAGTACAGTACTCTATGTAAAACATCTGATTAGAAAAACATGACCTAGTCAGCCATTTACAGTTTACACCCATTAAACCAGTGGTTCCCAAATGATGGATTGCAACCCCATTGCGAGTCTTTAGTACTGTATTAGAAAATAGGGCCATTGACAAAAAAAAAAGTTGGGTACCTCTGCTCTAAACAAACTACATCCTACATCCTCTATACCTGCCCTTGTCTGCATCCTTGTCTGCTTCCTCGTCTGCCTTCTCATCTGCCCCCTCGTCTGCTGAGCAAATCAAGGCAGAAGCAGTGTACAGTAATTAGCTGATGACTTGAGAATTTAGGAATTTATGAGTCATTCTGACTGGCTTCAAAAGAATATTCCAACAATCACTGACACAAATTCAGTGTGTTCCAAATCAATAATATTGATGAAACTGGTTAAGAAAATAATTATATAAGGCTGTATGACCAAGAGCCTTGTAAAACTGTCTCTACACTACCACAATTCCACCAATACTTGGGCTATGCAATTTTTGAGGACTGGTTTCATTAAAAAATTAATAAGCAAATTATTGTGTTCGAAGTTAAAAAGGAAGATGAAGGCTGACGAGGTGCAGGTTTTATTGATGCCGAATGGCAAAATAAGGTACAGTACATGGCTCTTCCACCAAATAAAACCAGCCTTTGAATGAAGGTGTTATTCATGCCGCCAAGAGAATGCATAGAAAAAATTGTTGAATAAAATACTGGTAGAAGGAAGGAATTATCAGGAGAAAGCCCCAAGCCATTACGACTATAAAGCACTTGGAATGGATCAGGATAAGGGTTTGGGATGGGATGGGGGAAAAGAATGGTGGCCAACCACTTGGACGGTCGGGGATCAAACGCAGACCTGCATAAAGTGAGACTGTCACTCAACCGTCCTGCCCAAGTAGTTGGGCTAAGTACTGGTAGAGGGGTTATGGAGAAAATGACAAGAAGAATAAGAGCACAAGAGAATTAAAAAAAAATCCATAAAAATGATTTACAATGATGACAATGATGGTGATAATGATCGAGATGATGACCAAAACAGTACACTGTACAGAGCAAGATAGAATTTATATTACTAGACACACTACTATCTAGATTTATCCAGAAACGTGATTGATTTAAATTTATTATCCAAAGAGAAAGAACAGTAAAAGAATGGAGAAAATTAAAAAATATATTGCGAGAACTTCAATTTAATGTCTAGCCGTTGTAATTAGAAACATAATCAACTAGACAAAATATATCCACAATGACCATCCATGCTATAGTAAAAGGAGGGAGGTTATAATATTGGATATTAAGCTAAAAACTTGCTCAATGTCAGCATATCTGAATGCAGACAACTTTTTTTATTATTTCCTATAGTGAACAGTTAAGTGGGGAATTAGATTAGTTTTAGGGTTATTTGGTGAAATAACTTTGGATCATGCTGTCAGCACTCCAAAAGCCGTTCTTAGTAAAATAATGAGCAACTATTACTCCACAGAACATCACTATGGTTGCATCACAATATAAATATGAACCATTCATAGTAGCTTGCAATAAAACTGCCCATACAGACATATTTGACAGCTATGCCAAGCACACCCCACATAACTAAACCAACCAGTCATAGACAAGCAAACCCATAAAGTAGGAATCACAGGAACATGCTATACCTTAGCCTTCAGCAGGCAACCTTAGAAACAAGATGAAGGAGGACTGAACTGTGGTACAGTACAAGATATTGTTCAACTAGCACAGGTCTAAGGAGCTCTGTCTAGAACAGAGACATCAGGTGAGAGAAAATTTAACTAAATGTCTCCATCCTGTGTGGAAATCAAACCCGGGACCTATCGGTTGTGAACCAACTAAGCAAACTATAAAGAAAAAGATGATGTAAGTTGACTAGACTTGAGACCCATTTTGAACCTTACATGCAGAGACAAACACATGCACAGTAAATGGTAGCACAGCGGTAACACACTCGCCACCACTCTTCCCGAGCGATTTGGTCTAGATTTGTATCCTGACCGGGGAGGATTGACTAGGTACCAATTATTCAAATCAAATCAAATCAAATGTTTATTTAGGTAAGGTACATACATACAAGAGATTTTACAAGGAGTGATGGATTTATAGATAGGGCTAGTACATACAATGCCTAAAGCCACTATTATGCAAAGCGTTTCGGGCATGAAAAAATCACGAAAATTATTAACTGTAAGCCAATCACCCAACAGTAATTTGGTACCTTATTGCTAAAATGACTGGCGGGTTGTATTCCAGGAAAAACTAATGGGTAAGACTTACCATAAGCTATTGTATGGGAAAGCTCTCAGCTTACTAAAGGAGACAGCAGTCAAATATAAATGTTTATTCAAAGGAATGTGTGCACAAAGAACATAAGAGTAATGTACAATTATAGGAACAGAAGGTACACAATCTATATAGCCACTATTACGCAAAGCGCTTCGGGTACAGTCGTCTATACCCAGCTGTATGTATTATATATTATATATATATATATTATATAAAATGATACAAAGGTTGCTAATCCCAATGGAAAATGTGGTCAACACCTCACCTCCCCCCCCTCTGCCTTAGCAACAATCAGTCACTACCGTTAGTAGGTACAATATCCAATACGATTGTTTAAGTGTGTATTTCCACTGCTCTTCACCATACTTCACCAGTCTACAGTAATTACCACCGTCCTGGATCGGTGAGCTGCAGGTGAGCTGCGGTGGGTGTTTGTTTACACTCTTGGCTGGTCGTTCATGCCTCAACCAACTACTCAATAATTAGTTATGCTGTCCATTCTAATTGTTTTGACATAGAATGAGACAAACGTCATTAATATATATAACTAATCTGGTTGTAGACAAGAGAAATTATCAACTCTTAGATTAATATTACTGTTTAATTTGACAATGAATGTGTATTTTGGCTGACTAATGTACAGACGATGAGTCACAATAGCGTGACTGAAGGTAATGAAGACTAGACCACACAAAAACTCTTAAATTAATTGAACAATAATAAAATACAATTTTTACATTAAGACACACAATCATAAACGATTTAAGTAAAATTACCCATAAAACAATTGAATATTGCAATTATAAAAAAGGTACAGAATTTACCTGATTGCCACCATCTCTCACCTAATTGTACTCGCATATATACATATACTGTGCTTGCGGGGGTTGAGTTTTGGCTCTCTGGTCCCGCCTCTCATCACCCAATCAACTGTGTACTTCTGAGCCTATTGGGCTCTGAAGCTGTGTGTGGAATCTGCCTCCACCACTTATACGTATACATACTATCTAATGCATTCCATTTGTTAGCTACCCTGACAACAATATGTATAATCTATATCAAGTGGGTTCGATGGGGTCAGGAAACTGTCAGATTCAATTAATGCAAATTTTAAAGGGTTCCGGTCCTAAATGTAAATATCTGGGAGTCCCGGGTACAGTCGGGTTCGTTCTCGACTCACAATCAAGAATTCTGGGTTGGAATCCATGGTGGGACAGAAATAGTTGGGCGCATTTCCTATCACGAACTCCTACCCCTTCAGGAAATATATATGTTTATCTTGTGATGTGTGTATATGTATGTATTAACACGATGTACTGAACGGGGTGAGAATAGCTTGACCTACCTCATCCCTTTCTGTGTATTTTACCTCAATAAACTTATTTCAATTTCAATTTCAATTTCCTATCCCTTCACAGGTACGCCGGGGTGCATCCGATCCCATGGTCGGCGTCGCCCCAAAATCAACACAACATTTCCTATCACCTAATGGCCTATTCACCTAGCAATAAGTAGGTACTCAGGAGTTAGTCAGCTTCTTGTGGGGTTGCATTACGGGCGGGGTCAGTAATTCGACCTTTTGGGGGGGGCGGGGGGAGGGAGGGCCTCGATATAAGCCTATACGTGTATGAATACCCTCTGGTTTCCTGTCCCCTGACACAATGATTTATTAAAATTACAATTTCCACTGCTTTAACCGGTTGCTTTCTTTAAAATAATTGATATATTCATCCAAATTCTAATATACTCATTATCTGCATCCCAGCAACAAAGCAAAGTACACCCAACACAGGTGATTAGTATACAGTTGGTATACGGGTCAACTCTAACAACTAGTTATGAATTATCATCATTTAGACCTGAGAACTGCGCGAGCTTGATTATCTTAATTAATTCACATCGTACTGTTTGCAATTAACTAGATATGCGACTCTCGTCCTGCATTTAATATCTACTTTAAGGTATAAATAGATCCCCACAAATAAATAATGTCGGCAGATCTTATACGTATCCAGTGGAGATGAAGGGTCAGCGATGTTAACGGTCGTTAAGATGAATCATAAAGCGCCAAATAAGGAGCACTGGCACCTTCACTCTGAAAGTGTCTCCACCACCACACATGTTACTAGTCTTGGTATGTGTGCAGGAGCAGTTTCCGACAATATTTTCCTACAATTATTACTAATGACAATTTATCTTTAGGCAGGAATAAGTATACGAATGAAGAGTGAAACGAAATGAATGCATTAAGTAACCAAACGCTAACAACTAGATCAATTATGCAAAAGTGCATTGACAACAGTCAATGATTTTAGAGAGAAACGCATAGATTTGATTATGTGTTTTCTCTATTAGTGTCTGTAGAATTATGCAGTTAGCTCTTGGATCCCGCCTTTCTAACCGTCGGTTGTCTCATATCTCTAGTACTCACAATAGTGTGCTTATTCCAGACTTATTCTCTCTCTCTCATACACACCTATCATGTTTCTCATATATATGTATATGAGCTTTCAGAAAGAATATATTCATTCCTCTGAATGTTTGCTGATGATGAAGAAAACAAGAGGCTACAAGATGACCTGGACAAGCTGAAAGAATGGTCCAACAAATGGCTATTGGAGGTTTAACTCAACAAATGTGAAGTAATGAAACTAGGTAGAGGGAACAGGAGGACGTACACAAAATACTAAATGGAAGATAAAATCCTTCATGAAACGAACAGAGAGAGAGAGAGGGCTCCATCAGGGGTTGATATCACATCGAACCTGTCTCCTGGAGCCCACATCAAAATAATTTAATCAGCATATATATATACAAGGTTGGCTAACATCCGAACTGCTTTTATTATTTATGTAAGGACTCATTCAGAACCTTGTATACCACATATGTTAGACCAATCCTGGAGTATGCGGCTCCAGGCATGGAGTCCATACATTATCAAGTATAAGACGAAGTTGAAGCAGATTCGATGGCATTCTCTGGGAAAATTGATAGTGGTAGATAAAGACTATTTACCACGGGTAGTACTCACACAAGGGGACACAGGTGGACACAGTACCCTGATTAGCCATAGACATCAGAAATAATTTTTCAGTATCAGAGTAGTTAATAAAAGGAATGTACTAGGAAATGATGTGATAGCGGCAGACTCCAGACACAGTTTCAAACGTTGATGTGATTGAGCCCAATAGGTTCAGGAACCTATTCACTAATTGAATGGCAGTTAAGAGGCAGGACTAAAAACTCGAAACTCTACCACCGCAAGCATAGTATGGTGAGTACATATTCCTAGGATACAGCCCACAACAGGTATTTAACTTCCAGGTACCTATTTACTGCTAAATGAACAGTGGTATCAGATGAAAGAAACTGCCCAAATATTTCTGTCTCCGCCGGGAATCGAATCGGGGTCCTCTAATTCTGAATCGCGAACGCTGTGGGTGTGAGTCTGTTAATCTACTTTTGGAGATGTTGCCTTGCCACAACAACAAAACCAGCCCTTCCTTAGGTGAAGTGAATACGACCGCTTACTGAAATATATGTTAGAAAAAATCTTAAACCTTCCTCTGTATGACCGACAGTGGAAACAATCTCAGTCGACTTGAGAATGGTCCAGGACGGACCGAAACGTCGTCGTCCCTTCACATTCTAGTGTGTGGTCTTGTCATCAGTGGAAACAAGTCACGTTCCCGTCAGAATCGAGGGGGCCCTCAGTAGCCACCCTGTAGTGAACCAACGGTTGTTAGGAAAGTAGGAAATATAACCTGTACTTCCTTGAGTGCTCTCGGGTGGCGTATATATATATGAACACATCTTCAGAATTACAAAACACATGTTACGCGGAATACATGCTAAATACGAAGGATGCAGTCGAGCAGGTAAAGTTTTACATTTTAAGGCTCACATTACAGGCATGTGATCGGGTGGGATATTAGATTATCTTGAAATAATTTAAATTGAAAAACAAATATAATAAATATGAGCTATTATTAACATTCAGATTTTGAATTACAGACGATTCAGCCATTAACAAATAACATTCGGTAATCAATTACTTTTGATAGGGGAAAAGAATACAAATATATTAGTGAACATATTACAAAATATAGTATAAGTAACTCCACTGAGGTAATACTCTTTCACATCAGTATAAATGCAAGTATGACACTGTATAAGCACTTTTATAATAGTTGATTTATTTACCAACATTTCAGCATCAATCGAGTTCTCTCCTTGGATTTTAATGACCAGCATTCTGATATATGCAAAAATCCGTTGTCACTTGATTTTGCCGTATTGCGAGCATGATAAAATATGCAAATGTTTTAAAATGCACACGAGAGGAAAGCTTATCCAAATATCTCTGAAGAGAGTGAATATCACACCACAGCTGAAGCTGGCAACAATAATCAAATGCAAAACAATGAATCAGTAAATGTGTATACTATTTGGAATAGTAAATAAATTACACGAGTTATAAGTATGCTGAATTAACACTGACTTGTCACTTTCTGACTTCATTCCCGGTGAGGAATACAAATGTTAAAAGTGTCTAAGGTCTTAATTTATATCACCCAGTGTTCAAAATATCCAAGAGTAACGTTAATTCAACGTTGATAACTTGTTTCAGTGGTTGAATTAACGTTACACTTGGATATTATGCCCACTGGCTAAACACTATGAAAAACACTTCTTCGTACTCTCCCATCACGTCCAAAACACTTCCTTTTGCTCGCGAGATAGATAGCTGAAGTCGACCACAATAAATAGATAGCTGATAGCCACATAGTCGACCACATTTACCACAACACCTACAATTAATTCTGCCACAGATTTACGACCGAAACTTAGGAAGTTCATAACGTTATCACATCAGTGGATATGTTAATTTTGTCATGTGTTTTTGTTTCAAAGGATGGAAATGAGAGGTTTACTTACGAGTTCAGGCGAGGGAAGCCGGCAGGAGGCAGTAATGTTGTGGACGAGCTCAATAGACAGCTGTAACCCGTTTGGCCTTCCAGACAGGTCTTCGCTGCTTCTTAACTTGTTCCTTACCTGTGACGTCACTCTCTCGGGCTCCAACAATGTAAATGGGTCCTGATATTATGCAGAATTTGACGCATCTACTTCGTGTGCGGCTATTGCAATTAACCGGTGCACAGCTCATTGTTAACTGAAAGTATGCAATCTCGTCATTAATGACGCATTTTACTAGTAATATTGCATGCCTTGCAGTACACGGCAGCGTATGTCCACCATGGATTCATGTTTCAGTGTTGAACAATGTTTTAGCCAACCCGAGCCATTTCAAATCACATTTCAGGGTGTTGATGCTTGCAATTGGCGGGGCTGCTGGAACGCATGCAAGACTACGTGCCCGGCCACACGAACGTTACAACCCTGCAATATATTCACCTTTTCCCAGGACGAGCAATCGCTCTTATAACAATTTGGCAGAATACAATTACCTCGATAAATTTGATTTATAATTACCTCATCCATCCTCACCAAATTTTGGCTAGTTATGGCATTCGTTTGTGTT